AGCAGCGAGATCACGGGAAAGCTGTACTAGGAACTAACACCGGCTCTCCAGCGACTGAAGTCTCGTGGCCTCCCATTTTCAGGAAGGGTGTTTGTTACCCTGCTCTCCATGGGTCCATTCACCGCAGCACCGCCCCTTCTCTCCAAGCTCCAAGGAGCAGGGAGAGCAGGTGTGCAGGGAGCAGGCTGAGAGCTGGTGTTTGCAACACCTTGTGTCTGGAAAACCAAGGGTGTTGCTGCTCTGGTTTGAAAGACCTAGACAGTGAGGTAGGTGTCTCCCAGGAGACAGTTGTCAGCCCAACTTGGCCTCAAGCCACCAACTGTGTGCCAGGCACCATGCTAGGCACCAGAGCCCAAACAGCCCTGCCTGGGACCCCACTGCCAGACACACAGCCTAGTTAGTGCACCACGAAGGTCTGTCTTGTGCCAACCAACCTGCGCTGACTTCGACAGTCGTGGCCATGCAACCTGTCCCTCTTAATCCCGGGGGGGAACAAGGGAAGCCCTCTGATGTCAGAAGGCCTGATGCATAGGGAGGTAGGTGTCCCAAGTTGTGAGCCCCCGCCTCAACTCCCTTGCCCTCCCCAAATTACCTGCTCGCCAGGCAGCCTGCCAGTTCTTATCATGGCCATTGTCATCTGGGGGATCTCTGCCCAACAAGGCTGGACAAGCTCCCCATTGGCCTGCTCTAACCTTCTCTTTCCAAGGACACCAGCCTCTTCCTACAGCCGCATTCTGCAGGGAGGTCACTTAGCAGGGAAGTGGGCCTGGCCAGAGGAAGGCGTGCCGAACAGTAAATAACTGGGAGTGAGGAGAAGTTCGGTTGCCATAAATCTCTTCAGAATTTTACACGGAGCTGGATAATATTGACATGAGTTAAATTCAATGAAACAACATTTAATTAAACTTTCAATGATCCAAATATTTGCACTTTGGTTAATGTTTGTGTAGCTGACAGCAGAATTATGATGGCCTGTCAGTATGCACCATTCTAATTTTGCGAGTCTTTCCTGTGCAAAGTGCATGTCCTCAGACATACAGATGATGGGCGGGTGCGCTCAGCAAGGTCGCGGGAGCGGCTGTCCCAGGGCAGAGGCCTAGATGCACACACTTCCCTCCCGGGGTGTTTTGGTTGGTTGGTTGGTTGGTTGGTTGATTGGTTGGTTTTAGCCCTGTGCTATAGGCTCCTCCAGACATTTTTCTAAAACTTTTTGAAATGTATCACTTTGGGGCCACATGGAGGGAGGCCTCCTGCGTTGCACGTAAGTGTTACATTCCAAACGAGGGTGGTGCTCCTAGCCTGGTAATTAGGGCCCCCAGGCCCCCAGCCAGCCAGTCTACCTCACCTCCCCAAATCCACCTGCACTCCCTTTCCATCTATGCAGACACCCCCTTCTTTTAAGACAAGGGTTCTCAGGCCTCAGGGTACCATGGGAGCCCTGGGGTGCATCAGTGCATGAGCGAAGGGGTGCATATATCTTTTTGAATTAGTATTTTGGGCTTCTTTGGATAAATATCCAGAAGTGGAATTGCTGGGTCATATAATAGCTCTATTTTTAATTTTTTTTGAGGAACCTACATACGTTTTCTATAATGGCTGCACCAATCCGCATTTCCACCAACAGTACACAAGGTTCCCTTTTCTCCACATCCTCGCCAGCACTTGTTTGTTGATTTATTGATAGCCATTCTGATAGGTGTGAGGTGATATCTCATTGTGGTTTTAATTTGCATCTCCCTGATGATTAGTGATGCTGAGCATCCTTTCACATGTCTGTTGGCCATCTGTCTGTCCTCTCTGGAGAAGTGTCTATTCAGGTCCTCTGCCCATTTTTTAATGAGGTTGCGTGTGTGTGTGTGTGTGTGTGTGTGTGTGTGTGTGTGTGTTTGGTGTAAGTTTTATGAATTCCTCATATATTTTGGATATTAACCCCTTAATGGATGCATCATTGGTGACTGTCTTCCCCCCTTCAGTAGGTTGTCTTTTCGTTTTGTTGATGGTTCCTTTACTTTGCAAAAGCTGTTTAGTTTGATATAGTCCCATTTGTTTACTTTTTTGTTTCTCTTGCCCAAGAAAATATATCCAAAAAAAATATTACTTAAGAGCAATGTCAGAGTTACTGCCTGTGTTTTCTCCTAAAAGTTTTATGGTTTGGGTCTTATATACGTCTTTAATCCATTTTGAGTTTTTTCTTATATGTGGTGTGAGAAAGCAGTCTAGTTTCTTTCTTTCTTTTCTTTTTTTTTTTTTACACATTATCTGTCCAGTTTTCTCCACACCATTTATTGAGGAGACTGTCTTTGCCTCATTGTATATTCTTGTCTCCTTTGTCATAGATTAATTGGCCATATAAGTGATAACATACAGCACCTGACTTCTTCACAAGCCCCACTCACCAGCCATTGGGAGAAAAATGCACCTAAATATTCAATCCATTATAAAGCTGAGTCCGGGCTGATGATCATTTTTGCAGTCCACATAAGTAATGCTCTACCTAAGAAAAACGCTTCGTGTTTCCAATTCCCCACCCCACCCCACATCCCCAGCTGCTCCTCTATCTGGTTTCTGAGTGTGGATTTAAGCACCCTGCCATTCTCCACCACCTCCGGTTTCTGCTGCTGGGATCTCACCCCCAACCCTAATCCTCCCCGGTTGCCCTGTCAGAGGCAGCCCTGGCGGAGCTCCTGGTCTGGGCTCTCTCAGCCTGGTGGATTCTGGAGTCTGAGGTTCCCTTGGTTCAGCTGCCCACAGCCCCCACGGGCACGATGCACCCCTCAAGGTCAGGAGGTCATTGCCTTTGGGCCCAGATCTGGCCATTCAATGCAGCCCTCAGACACAGGGGTACAGAGCACCTCACAGCCCAGCCAGTGCACAGGCAAGGACCTCTGGCTCCCTCCAGGTCACTCAGGAGTCCAGGGGCTCTGGTGGATGACCCCAGGCTCTGGCTCTCTCACACCATGTGTAATCGCCCCGGGGGGGAGGGGAGCAGGCCGGTTGGAGACAGTTCAGCCTCCTCTCACCTACACACTAGCAGGCACACTCTTTGCCCTTCCCACTGTCTCCCTTGTGATTCCCACAATGCCCCGGGACGAGGATGGGGTATTCCATACCTGCTTACTTCTTCCATAGAGCACAGGGCCTCATGGGTTGTTGGGGGGAGAGGGGGTGTTAATATGCTTTTATTGATTTCAGAGAGGAAAAGAGAGGGAGAGAGAGGTAGAAACATCAATAATAAGAGAATCATTGATCAGCTGCCTCCTGCACGCTCCCTACTGTGGGCTGAGCCTGCAACCTGAGCATGTGCCCTGACCTGGTGGGCACTCAACCACTGGGCTATACCAGGCAAGGAATCCCATGAGGAAGAGATACCTTGTCTATACTTGGGGAGAATCTGGGTTCTGAGCCCTAAGGGCCAGCACAGCACAGGGGAAGCTGGACAATTTTAGCAAATTCTCCTTATCTCTCCTCGCTCTGCCCTCTATCTCCAAAGCCGGGTTTTGCTACAGTGGCCTAGCGCCCTCCCTCCCCTGAGAAATAAACTCATGACTCCGAGACGGGCGGGCAGCACACAGAATGTGATTGAAGAGGGAATGTGAAATGCACCTTCGTTTGTGAAATATTACGCGGGTTGCATCTGCATCAATCACGCGCTGCTTATCTTTCCTCCTGCGGCTCCGTCACCGGGAGCCACATTTGTCCTGTGTGTGACTGTCCCCTCTCCGCTGGCCTGTTGTCTCCTTTCCTTCTTTATTTCCATTTCCTCCATTTTGCATCCATCCGTCCAACAAGCGTTGATTGAGCGCCTAGTATATACCTTGTTCCTCTTCGTGGGCCCAGGGCAGGGCCACTGAATGATTGTGGACGGGAAGGGCTTTGCTCCTCAGGTTCCCACCTGACTGCATCTGCTTTGCAGTGCATCACGCGCCTGTAGCTTCACGCCTGCGCGCCTGCGGCTGTTTGGCTCCCCTTCCCCCTCCCCTCTCCCACACACGCTGGCAGGAGGGTGTGAGCACAGATGTTCTGCCTGATCTCAGCTCAAAAGTGTCCCACTGAGTCACACAGCTCCATCCCGAGCTCTCTGCCTTGCTCCACAGCTGTCAGACACCCCCAGGCCCTGATAGAGTCTCAGTCAGAGTAAAAAGGGCTCCCAGCATTTTTGCTGGCATCCCAGAATAAACACAGCTCCCCCTACCCCTGAGCCAGCTGCCTCCCTCAGCTCATGCCGCCTCTGGCTGCTGCCCCAAGCCCCCTGCCTTGCAGATTTGGGGGAGGCAGTCCAGCCAGTGGGCTGGTGACTCTCCCTCCAAGCCTGATCCCATTTTGGTTTTTGAACATCTGAGTCTGATTAATTTTTTCATAAATCCCAAGAATTTCAGAAAGCCTCTGGTTAAAGGGAAGTATTTTAGACCCTTCCCATTTGCCTGAAGAATGACCAGTCTTCATGCCAGTTATCAAGTGTGAAATGGCAATGATTAATAATTTGTGCAGCCTAAAGTACACTTCAAAAAGTTAAAGGCTACCGTGCCTGGTGGCTGAGCAGAAATCCAAATCCAAGTTCAGAGAATCCTCAGGCAGAAACAAACCTTCAAAGGTCAGCCAGTCCATTCCCCAGACTGCAGACAGCGCAACCTTTACGCTGCCCCCAGAAGAAGAGCTTGACTGCACCCAGCCCGGCCCAGACCTCGTGAGGCCCGAGGCCGGGAGCACATGGCAGGTGCTGCGCGTCTGGTCCTGGTCTCTGTGTGATGGCCCACAGGGCGGGCAGCCCACATTCCGGCCACAGCCCAGATGGCTCCTCTGCACTCGCTGTGGTTCCTGGCCTGTTTTGACCCACAGAGCCCTTTGATCGTTTGGCATAAGTTGTGGCCCCTCTCCCAGGAGGTATGTCCATTTGTACATTCTGTCAGCACGTGGTGGACAAATTCCCATTGCCCTCAAGCAACCTCGGCCCCTGCCCCGCAGGAAATCCCCTGCACCTGACGGCCTTCTTCTCCCTGCAGAGGTGGTTCAGCTCAGCCTCGCCCCCGAGGAGAGGGTCAGCGTGGCCACAGTGACCGTGGGGCTGAGCACCGTGCTGACGTGTGCTGTGCGCGGAGACCTGCGACCACCCATCGTCTGGAAGCGCAACGGGCTCGCCCTGAACTTCCTGGATTTGGAAGACATTAACGTAAGTAACCTGGCTCTGACTTGGAGCTCAAACGTACGTCCAGGGGAAGTAACCTGTGCAAGACTGCGGCAGAGGCAGGGCCTGAGGGTTCTCTCCTGCCACCCACATTTGGTAGCTTCCAACCTGTTGTCTGACACCTGGAGGTACCAGAAAACCCAAGCCCCACCACATGCAGAGGCAGGCTGCGTGGTGGCTGTAAGCCTGCCAGCCAGGCCCAGGAGAAGGGGAACAGGGAAGCCAGGGGGCAGGGCAGGAGGTCCTTGTTACAGGCCAAAGTGGCTAAGGCCAGCAGGTGGGCGTGAGGATGGGATGTGAGAGGAGGGGGCTGTGTATCAAGCCGACCGCTCAGAGGGAGGGACCACAGTCCAACAGAGAACATGGCCAGTCAGGAAGCCTCCCGGGCAGGGAGAACATCTGGGTGAGGTCCCCTGGGCGGTGGAGGAGAAACTCCAGGCCTAAAGCTGGGAAGAATATAGACAGCTGGACATGGGGAAGAGGGATTCCCTGTGGAAGGCAGAGGTGAGCTCCTGGGCTGGGTTGGCTGGAGGGCAGAGGCCAGGTGATGAGGGAAAGAAAATTAGGTCCAGCCAGAGGGGCCTGCCCTGGGGCCTTGCTTATGGAGTGGGAAATGCGGGGGGTGATGCGTTGAGTGGGAGAGCCCTGAGCTCACACAGCCTAACGTGACCAACAGGAGAACATCTGCACTCTGAGGGCCCAGGCAGCCTGGGCTGGGGTCCCAGCGTCACCCACACTGCCTGTAGCACTTAAGCAATTTCTTAAACAGCTGATCCTCAATGAATTAATTTATTAGAAAAGCAACATCAGTGGTACCTCCCTTCTCCTGGACTTGAGAAATACAGGGATTCATTCAAGAATATTTACTGGTCCTGGTTTGGCTCAGTGGGTGAAAGGATTTCCCAGAAGTTCGTGTGAGAAGACAGAATGATGTCACCAAGCAAGATGCTGCCAGGTCAGCAGCTACAGAAACAGGGGGCAGCCCTGGTCTTGGCCCAGGACAGGTCAACTGGCTCAGAATCCAGAGAAGGAAGACCTGTGGGATGTGTGGCCAGTTCCCGCTAACAGTGCTAAGGTGCTGGGGGAGGTGCTGGGGCAGAGGGTGTCGGCCTGGTCTGTGTGACCCAAGAGTTGGACTAGGACAAAGGGCCAGGGAGCACCCCAAAAAGAAACCAATTTTAGCTCCTTAGCTGGAACACCATTCCAGCCACAGCCCTGCCTCTCGATGGAGTGAGCCATCAGAGGAGGCAGTGAGCTCCCCAACCCTAGAGACACACGTGCACGCAGGAGCGTGATTAGCAATGCTGCTGGCCACAAGAGGGCAGCTAAACCCCACGCCCTGACGTCTGCTTTATGGGGAGAGGCCCAGTACAGAATCCTGCAGGAATCCTCGAATTGGGATTCTTGCTGCACCCTGGAAATTGTGCGGGAAGCAGAGAAAAGAGGGGCCATCCTGGAGAGCCACTCTGGGCAGAGCTGGCAGGAGTGCCCTTCCCCAGTCACGCTGTATTCTACCCATATCTGAATGTCAGTGCCAGCACAAACCCGGTGGGTGTTGACGCGCAGATGCTGATGGGCAATCTTCTGAGCCTAAGGCGGCCAGAGCATGTCTGGGATCTTAGCAAGGGAAGGTAGTGTCCTGGGGTGCATGTGTGTGTATGTCGGGGTGCACATTTGTATGTACAAAAGCTGTCAAGGTGGGAATCAGCTCTTAGCCATGTGAGCCCAGTGGTGATTGGTTCAGAACATCTGGGCAGAGCTGGCAGGAGTGCCCTTCCCCAGTCACACTGGGCAGGGGGTTTCCTTGTGATTGCCTCATAGGCTGTATTCCACCCATATCTGAATGTCATTGCCAGCACAAACCCGGTGGGTGTTGACGCACAGATGCTGATGGGCAATCTTCTGAGCCTAAGGCGGCCAGAGCATGTCTGGGATCTTAGCAAGGGAAGGTAGTGTCCCGGGGTGCATGTGTGTGTATGTCGGGGTGCACGTTTGTATGAACAAAAGCTGTCAAGGTGGGCATCAGCTCTTAGCCGTGTGTGCCCAGTGGTAATTGGTTCAGAACCAGAACAGGTCTGCCTGTGTTTGTCTGGACATCCATGGGCCTTGCTTGATGTTCTATTTAAAGACACCAGAAGTAAAGGCTGAGGCAGAACTCCTCTTAATGCACTTGCCATCAGTTAATTAAATTACTTGGAGTGTGTTTCCCTCCCTTAAACATGCCTCCGGCACCAACTCAATTGCATTTTTACTTTGCACAGTGAGGTTAGCAATTTGGGTAATTGTGGGTGCAGCTGGAGATTAATGGCCTCTCGTTACCTCCCAGGAAGCACTTGCTGCTCGTGGTCAAGTCAGCAGCCCACACACAGGCAGGGCTCTGAGCTTCTCAGAAACCCCCATGTGAGGGTGCAGGGCAGCACCAGCCCCACGGGGGTCCTCGGGCCTGATGCATGCTACCACATTCTACACACATAAACACACACAAGTACACAATACATACACATAAACACACAAAAAACACCACACACGACACGAGCACACATATACACATACACACAAAAACAAACACAACACATACACACACCTATTCACACATACACATATGTCCATGCAGGTGTATGTGGCTCCCCTGCCTTAGAAAGAGGAAGGAGGCAGCACAGCCTGTCAGTGAAGGGCACAGACTCTGGGGGGTCAAAGGTACCTGGGTTTAAGTCTCAGCTCTGCCCCTTACTAGTTGAGTGACCTTGGAAAGGCCACTTGACTCCTTAAGCCTCAATTTCTTCCTCTATGAAATGGGTATGAATAATAGTCACTGCCTCATAGGGTTACAGTGCAGATTAAATGAGAAGATACATGTGACCTTCTTGGCACAAGTGTTCCATGCTATTATCACTCTCATTATCATCATCATCATCATTATTATTATTACTATTACTACTACTGCTGCTGCTGCCAAACAACATCTTGCATCCTGAGTCCCCAACAAGCAGCCAGCAGAAGCCTGAGACTCCCCAGTCAGGCAGCTATGACCCTGGGCTGCCCCTGCTGCCTGTCCTTGGGACGGGACAACACCATCCATGTCGGTCTCGTTTCATGCAGGGAGACGGACAATGACCAGCCACCTCCTGCAGGTCCAGAGCTGTTGGGTGAACTGTGTGACTTCTCTGGGCCTGTGGGGACATGGGGGTGAGGATGTCCTCCCTGCGGGGGCATTTTTAGGCTGAATGTGTGATATGACTAGCCAGGTGCCCACACAGCAGGTGTTCGTAAGGAGCAGTCCCCGTCTGGGGACAATGAGGACAGCAGCCCTGGGAAGAAATCAGCTTGAGGGGGAACAACCAAACCCTCTGGTTTCAAGGGGTATTTTTGAAGTGGTCGGGGGAGAACAGCCCAGAAGGGCAGCCCTGACAGGGCAAAGATCAGGGATTGAATAGCTCCTAGAGACTCTCAGCATACAGCGTGCCAGTGCCCGCCCCGCCCACCCCGCCCGCTGCAGTCAGAGATGGAATACTATCCTCCGCGTGGTAATTAGCGCCTGGCACGGAACACTGCGCAGACCAGGAAGCTGATCAGCCTACAAAACCCAAGGCGGGAGCGGGGCGAACACGGGGAGGTGCGGGCCTCCTTGTTTTGTCACTCGGATGAGACATCTTGATTGGCAACAAAATATTAATCACTTTTTCACTACTCTCTTAATGAGACGCTTTCATGGGCAACAAAATATTAATTTGTCTTGTCTTATCTATTAAGAATTCTGTTAAATGAATTCACTCACAGGGCCATTACAGAATGCCATCCTAATGACACATGTAATTAAACTTTTCTGACTTGCAAACATCAAGGATGCCTCGAGCATCAGAATAATATTTGATTAGAAAGTAAATGTACCCTCTAGCCCGGAGCCGAGTGGGAAGGAGCCTCTCGGATTCCCCAGCGAGCAGTGTCGCTGTCACAGCATTCATGAGTCCCGGGTGTGTGTGTGTGTGTGTGTGTGTGTGTGTGTGTGTGTGGCCGTCCAGATGGTGCAGGTGCAGAGTCATCCTCTGGACTCACTCACTATGAGCTGGTGAATCCAAGGCCTGTGCCAGAGCGTCGAGCAAAGACACCCTGGGCCTCGAGGGGGCTGAGACATCAAAAGGCAGAATTACAGGTTCCATGTTACAAGGAGGAAGCCAGTTCTGGGGGCCGGAGGAAGGGGAAGTTCTGATCCAGGTTCAGGGGACAGGGATAAGCAAGAGAGGAGTCTGGATCGGGGGCTGGGGCCGGAACATGACAGGCTTGAATATTAACATAAAGGATCTTGGCTGTTCCCTTAGGCAGTGGGATTCGTAGATTTTAAATTGGGGAGTGACACGGTCAAATGTCTGTTTGACCATGAGCCTCTTCCAGCCTAAGATTAAACATGCCCCCAAGGAGGACCCCAAATAAGTGGGACCCAAAAATAAGGGGGACCCTGCTCATGCTCCAGGAGGTGTGAGAGGAGAGGGGTTAGGGGTCTTCCTCCCCAGTAGTGCATTCAGAGTGGGGCAGTGCCCCAGGCTGCCCAGAAGTTCAGGCAGGACCTGGTGTGCCTCCTGAGGCTGCCTGAGCCACCCCCCCTCCCCCTTGGCAGGAGGCCCCAGCTTGCATGAGGGACCCCTGCCTCAGCCACACCAGGAAAAACACCGCCCCCCCGCAGAGCAGCATCGGGGACCCAGAGTGCAAGGCCCAGAGACAGGCGCTCCCAGCAGAAGGTGCAGCGGGAACACCCTGTGGCCGCTGGCAGTGGTCTCTGGATTGTGACGCCTTTTTCTGTTTGTTCCATCAGAAATCAATAGTTTCTGCTCCCACACCTACGCACGCGAACAAAGGCTGCCTGTACTGTGTTTGCTTCCTGGCCGGCTGCCATGGTTCCTTTACTGAGGCAGTCATGGGTCTGGGCGGCTTCAGACCGGCCCTGCGGCCTCCCACTTTAGCTTTCGGGACATGACCCACTGCCCCCACCT